CTACAAGATGCCGATTTTTGCGTTCGGCTACCTCGTTTTGTTGAGGTGTATGAGGACAAGATGTTTGGTGGATAATATCATTATTGGATATAAAAGTTTGAAATTGTTGGGATAAATATTCACGAGCATTATCACTTCTTAAGGTACGAATAGACACACCAAAGTGAGTTTTTATTTCTTTATAAAATTTTTCAAAAATAGAAAATAATTCTGATATATTTTTCATTAAAAATAACCACGTGCAACGTTAAAAATAATCAATAAAGGTGACAAAATACCTAGACTCAAGAGTAGAGATAATACGTGAGGGACCCCAAACATCGGAGTGAACTAAAGCAAAAGGGGGTGAAGCTCATTTATTGACTCGATTGGGAAATTGACTACAGGTGTGTTTCCCTAACTGACACGACTCACAATGTAAATTAGATACTTTCGATAAACTTGGCACCAACTTTTGTAATTTGGGAAGACGATGATAACCTAACTGAGCATGGATTGTGAGTGGAGAATCTTTGATTAAGCATGTCTGAGATGACACTGAGAGGTAATAAAGGCCTTGAGACTCACATTCGACGCCAATTGTCCTTCCCGAACTCGAATCCTACAGGGTAACATTACTATTAGTGAAGGTGACAATAAAATCAAGAGAAAGATTTAAACGACTGACTGAAAGAAAATTAAATGGACAATTAGGTACATAGAGAACAGAAGTAACAGAGAGAGAAGGTAGAATTTAAACAGTACCAATTCCTTCGGATTGGGTTTGAGAACCATTGGCAGAAGTTATTGTAGGTAATAAATCGTAGGTAGAGAGGGAAGAGAAAAGATTTTTATTACCAGTAACATGATCAGACGTACCAGAATCAAGGACCCAAGGTCCAAGGGAAGATGATTGAGAGAAGCAAACTGAATTACCAGTGTGTGTGCAACCAAAACAGTAGAATCTTAGTTCTGATAATTCAGATACGACTTGAGGAAATCATGGTAGTTTGGTGTAAAGTTATGAGGAGTAGCCATGAGTATCGGATTTGGAAAAGTTGCACGGTTGCGAGTGCGGTGGTGTTAAAATTGTCGGAATCGATCGGATCAAATGAGGTGCTTTTTCCGATAGGGTTAGTTTGCCAGAAGGTCGCCATGATTTATAGCGGTGGATGGCGGCAGCAGTCCGGTGGTTACCAGAGAATTTTGGAAAGTGGGAGGCAAACCGGAGTGATGACACGGTTTGCAAAAAAAAATTGTCACCGGAAGACAGTGGGTCAACCGGGTAAAACACAATGAAGAATTGTCTCTTAGTAGACTCTAGATACCATATTGAATTATAAGAGACTAATAGACATTTAGGTTTAACCGTGTGTGCTGAAAAGCACTATAGAGACTTTATTATATATAGAGAGATTACAACTAATGCTATGATATAGTCGATGTGGGACTATTCTACATACAAATATTCTTAACACTATATATGTATACAAATATCAATAATATTCATGACCTTCTACATATGATACACGATAAATAGACAAGCTTCAGGAAGGAAAAGGGATCCCCCCATCTAACACACAATACGCCCCAAATATAATATGGCCTCTCCCAGCTAGCTTCGCGGAGGTTATCAATATTGTTCTACTAGAACATATGGCGCCCACCGTGGGGGGAGGTTAAACTCTCCCGAGACTCAAGTTTTGATTCCTTGTGACGATATATGTGACACTAATATTGTAATCAACGACAAGAGCAAAGGTTTTGATCAGGGAGTAAGTTATAGGAATATTGTCATTTATCAACTGATTCTACATTTCTAATTCATTCAAATTATTACTGTTACTATTAATAACAAAATATGTGATGAATAAGATAAAATGCAATTATGAAAATAGAGCACACAGGGATCGTCCGAACCGGGCTCGACCATATAAGGATCATCCCTAGAGGGCTCATCCACAAAGATTTCATTCACAAAGGGCTCGTCCACAAATGGTTGGTCCATAGAGGATTCGTCCATAAAGAACTTGTCCACAAAGGGCTCGTCCACAGAGAGCTCATCCACATAAGGCTCGTCCACAGAGGGCTCTTCTACAGAGGGTTCACCCACAGAGGTTTCATCCACAGAGGGCTCGCCAATGAAGGGCTAGCCCGCGAACAGATAAGTTAAGTGATGATTTCAGTGCATATATTTTTCTTGGGAGGCTAGAATTACAATGCATATTATGTAATAATGATTTCTATAAAGGCAATGTGCATGTTAAATGACTAAACGCTAATATTCCACTGGCTTCTATTATGAATGCTAGTAAATTTCATAACCGTTCTAAAATGTCAGAAGTGCAAATTTCATAATTGGTAAATACTCTTTTAAAATGGATGTAAAGCCTTTACATGTTCTTATTGTTGGTGGATAGTCACGAAGTATATGTCATTTTGATTAATAGAAGATGATCATTAATTGTATATTCGAATGTAATATGTTATTTCATGTTTCATATACTTTTTTATGAGTTCAGACAACAGGTGTGTCATATGCTGATGATTATGATGGCTAACAAGGAGTTCGAGTTGATTAATGCACAAGATGATAAACGAATAACATAATTATGAAGGATTTGTCCGAGTTGTTATGCAAAAAGTTAAAAAAACATCAACTCACCTGCATGGAGGTGAAACGTGTCGGGCTGCAACTCGAGTGTTAAAATAGAGACTAGAAGAACCTCATATTGGAAACATCAAACGAGATCGACGACCAGATCAAAGGATTAAACATATATGAGTTAGATGTTTTAATTAAATATTACGTTTATTGTTGGACAATGCGAGTTATAGTCTCTGCCACTTTGTAATCATTTTAAAGTACTATTTAGAGCTTACTTTAAGCAACGGGTGTCACTCATTTCCCTTGCGTGGGCAGGAGGCATCTCCTCTTTATAAAATTGTAAAGATTAGTCAGGATGTTCACCGGATGTCAGAAAATTCGATGTCTTGCCAAATTGGATGAATTATCATGGAGAAGCTGGTGCACGCTATGGACAAAAGAAACTAGAATGACACACAAATCGAAAATCATTGAGGATAAAATTGAGTCAGCTCACCCGAGAAAGAATCTGACATCGAGCTCAGTATATTATCATAATAATATTACTAATAATCGATTATATTTTCTCTGAAGCTTGGATATATACACTGACTCTCCAACAAAAGCAAGGGCAAGAACATTGAAGACATTGAAGACCTCCACTGAGAAACAGACAGTCACCCCAAGCGGGCTTTGAACCAAAAAAGTCACCTCCAGGAAGGCTTTGAACCTGGTCATCCTTAAGCGGACTCTAAACCAAACTTTAAAGGTCAATCACAAGCGAGCTATGAACCAAAAAGGTCACCCCCAGACAGACTCTGAATATGTTCACCCCCAAGCGGGTTCTGAACCAAACTTTAATGGTCACCCCTAAACGGGCTCTAAGCCAAAAAGATCACTCCCAAGTGGACTCTGAACCAAAAAGGTCATCCTTAAGCGGACTCTGAACCTGATCATCCCAAGTGGATTCTAAATTAAATTTTAAAAGTCACCCCCAAGCAAACTCTAAACCAAAAAAATCACCCCAGACATGCTCTGAACCTGACCACCCCCAAGTAGACTCTGAATCGAACTTTAAACGTCACCCCCAAGACTCGACCACATAGAGAGACCACCAAGTGGGCCAACAAGAGTCCGGCCGCGAGGAGACTTGTCTGCTTACTTTTTTATTTACTTATTTTTTATTTTTTTAATATATTAAAAAACTTTTTTTTATTACAATTAGACTTTTCATTTATTTTTTAAAACAATTTTTATAAAATATCATTTTAACAAAAATTATTTTAAAAAGTATTTCATATATTCATAAATAAATAAATATATAAATAAAACTATTAAGAATTAAATCTACTATATTTAACTAAAAAAATGGGTTTCCAATAGAACAAATTAAATAAATAGGTGCAGCGGACTTTGACGGCGACGGATTTTGACAAAACAGATTTTAAAGGACGACGGTCTTTAACGAGACGAATTTTAATAGACGCGGATCTAAAATCTAAACTCAACCCATTACTTTTTAATGAATATATAGACCAACTCGACGAACCACGACCTATTTTACCACTCTATTAAATATATTATTTTAATCTAATAAAAATTATATTGTGATGAAATAATAAAATTTTATATTATTATAAAATGAAATAAATAATTTTTCATAATAATTATTTTGTTTTACCACCCTATTAAATATATTATTTTAATCTAATAAAAACAATATTGTGATGAAATAATAAAATTTTATATTATTATAAAATAAAATAAAATAATTTTTCTTAATAATCATTTTTAATTTTCTCTCCTCGAAGCTTTATTATTAATGACACATAATTAAATGTATTATTACCTCAATCTTTAATTATAAAAAAAAAAAATTGAACTTTTCTTAGATCCTCTTCAACTTTTAAAATAATTAATAAATTTAATATTAAATTTTTTATTTTAATTTCAACAATTTTCTAAGTAATCTTATATTTAGAAACGGGATAGTATCTATTATATCTATTATGATTTATAATTTTTAAGGAGGGATAATATCTACATATTTTGATTCGTGTGTTTATAAGTGCGCATATATATATATATATATATATATATATATATATATATATATATATATATATATATATATATATATATATATATATATATATATTATAAAATGAAAAAAAAAGTTAAATTTAATCTCAAATAACGAGTACTGAGTTGGATTACAAGACAAAATGAGGTGTATCAAACATGTCTCCACAACCACAAAACAGTTGTCTATGTGTTAATTCCCTCACCACAAAAACTATATTACATTTAACTACTACCGAAAAAGAAAAACCAAAACAAAAAAACAGAGGAAAAACAGAGCATGAAAAATACACGACAGCTTCATAGAATTTCCTCTGTTCCATTCTTCACCCAACGAGAATCACGATGATCATTAACAACACTTCATCCTATGTACACGGTCTCTCAAAATCCCGTTGAACAAAGCGATTCTATTCGCCGGAATTCCACGACTTTTCGACGTTTCACTTCTGCAGTTGCTACTATATACTCTGTTTCGCTTCCTCTGTTTCTCTTTCCTTACAACTTGACTCTTCCTTTCTCTTTCTTCTTTAACACTTTCTTCAAATCTAACTTTCTTCTTACTCCTTTTCGTATTCATCTTTCTCTCCTTTTTCTTTTCCTCTGAGGAAAAACAACATACAGTATATAGTAAGAAAAGAACTAAGAAGTTGTTCTTGACATAGTAAGATGAATGAAAAAAATGGGTGGTGGTGATTTACCTGAATACAAACAAGAACGCAGAACGTGGTTTCCTTGAATTTGAAATGATGGGTTATTCTTTTGTTTCGAGAAAACAAGATAAAGCATGGTGCTTGAGACAACCATGGCAGTAGTGAAAACAAGACCCTGTGAAAAAGAAGTCATTTTTTGTTGAAGGATTGAGTTAAGTTGAGTTGAGTTGAGTTGACCAGAGAAGAAGAGGATGAGTTGAATAAATATATAGAGGTGGATGAGATTGCTTCATGAAAAAAGATAAAAATAATCATTATAAAATTGTATAAATAAATAATAAATTGTGGTGACTGGTGAGTTAGAGGATATATGTGGTTCTAGATTTCTCTGATGGCGATTGATCCAATTTGGGAATGAAAAGGATAAGAGATTTGATGGTGGGTCGGTGTATTGTATGTATGAAGTGTTCGGTTTCGATTTTGCCTTGTTAAGTACAAGAAGAAGTTGGAAAGTGTTGGAGTTATGATATCCTCTTAGTTAACTTAAGTAGGACATATCAATTAAACTATTTCACTCATCTTATTTTTAAAATATTCTAATTACAGAATTCAAATATATTATAAACTCAATAAATGTGCATTTAAAAAAAATATTTTATTAAGTTTGATGTAAATAAGAAGGGAAATATTTTATACGGCTATATAAAGGATTTTAAATTAACTTTTTTTTCATGATCAAAAATAAATAAAAAGGTTTTTCCTTTTTAAGTTTTAGACGTTATTTTTCATTTCGCGCGTGTTATTTTCTTTCACTATTTTTCATATTATTGTAACTGTTTATTGGATGTAATAGCATAATTAAGACTTTGTTTTACTGCTTTATTTCCCTCAAGTTTTTGGACATGTAATTAATCTCCCTCCCCGAAGTCTTGTAATAATTTAGGATTTACATTTTCGCACTTTTAATTACTGTAAACTATTAACTATCTAGATGCATGACTAATAGGATTGTATGACAGAAACATAAAATCAAATGCTAGCAAATCTAACACAAGACAAAAATAACTGAATACAACACACTCTCACATATACACCTCCAGGGTATCCCACTTTGGTTGCCTTCGAAAAAAAAGTCACATCTCTCAAAACGTGAGAGACTTTAGTGGTTGTCCTCCAGTTTAAAGATCATAAGTCCCTCGATGACCCTCTCGACGTTGCCTCGTAAAAATGATCTTAAAATTCTAGGATAATTACTAAAGTTTCTTGGGCCTAGTTGCCTTTGTGACTGTATAAATGTCCATTCGAATGTCCCTCAAACATCCAAAGACTAGGGCTACCTACTCACTAATAGTAGGATAGCAATGTCTAAAGGAAAAGAGGAAAAGAAAAACCCTTTTGAGTAAAGTAGATAATTCCTAGATGATATGCTCAAACAACTTAAAACACTTTTTCACACCTCACACTTTCAAAAACATTTTCAAAATGCTTTATCAACACTCTTGAGGACTGATACAAGAGTTATCATAAAAGCAAGTTGCCTTACTATTGGCATTTCAAAAATACTTTTCAAAACACAAAGCACAAGGTATTTCAAAATGAGCTAAGCATCTAATAGCCCGTAGAAAACTACGGATGGAAAGGGTGATATCACTTTTTCTTTCCATAATCTACCCCCTTACTCAGAAAACTCTCAAAAGGTATTTTTCTGTTCTTTTCACCCTTTCCTTTGTTGGATAAAAGAAAACTCGGTGGCGACTCTTGTTTACCGCAACATTTGCGAACACAAACGCAAAACCAGTATAACAATCGGTTCTGCCACCGTATCACACCTTTTTATTTACCCAATCGCAGTTGCGGGGGATCAGACCATAGTCCGTCCTACCAGGTTCGGCACTAGAAACCTCTGAACTAATTGACAACGGGTTGTTTTATTATATATTTTGTAGGTTCCACAATCGTTGAGTTAAGTGACCGGGTGAGGGTCACCTAACTTAATAGGTGCATTCCCTATTTTTTATATTATATTAAGACATGTAATTTTAGAATTTTTGGGATCATTCACTTATATTCATCGACTCCCTACGTAGTTTGTGCTTATGATGGTGCTGACTGCTATAAACTACTCGGGGCTACTTTAAAACTCAAACTTAAGGTTTCGGCATAATAGGTACTCAGACTGGTCATGCATAATTTGGGGATTTAGGGTGTCAGAACGGTACTGGTTTTGTTGAATCTTTCTCAAATCGTTCTAACTTAGCCTATGTGCAAAACAACCTATATACTCTTAAAGGGTCGTATCATGCATCAAACCAAAAAAAATTGTTATGGTCCAAGAAAATGGGGGAATCGATTAATAGCGGAAAAACATACATAAGTACTCGATGGTATATGAATTTGACTTGACTACATAGGAAATGAAATTAAAACTACCTAGGGACAATGAAACTAAAAACAGTAAAGTTGTCTCCCCCACACTTAAATCGGACATTGTCCCCAATATTTCAAAATAAGGTGAAAAAGAAAGGCATAATCCTGGAATGTATGTGTGATACGGTGGCAGAACCGACTGTTATACTGGTTTTACATTTGTATTCGCAAATGTTGCGGTGAGCAAGAGTCGCCACCGACTTTTCTTTTATCCAACAAAGGAAAGGGTGAAAAGAACAGAAAAAGACCTTTTCGAGAATTTTCTGAGTAAGGGGATAGATTATGGAAAGGGAAGGTGTTAGCACCCTTTCCATCCGTAGTTATCCACAGGCTCTTAGATGCTTAGCTCATTTTAAAAGTACCTTGTGCTTTGTGTGTTTTAAAAAAATGTTTTGAAATGCCTTAGTGCGGCGATTTGCTTTGCGTTAACTCTTGTATCAGTCCTCAAGAGTGTTGACGAAGCAAATTTTTTTGAGAGTTGTTTTTGAAATATGTAAGTGTAAAAAGTTTATTTTATTTGAGCAAGCATCTAACAGCTATCTACTTGTACTCGAAAATGTTTGTTCTTTTCCTCCTATCCTTTAGACAATGTTATCCTACTATTAATGAGTAACTAGCCCTATCATTGGATGTATGAGGGGCATTCGAAGGGACATTTTATAGTCACAAAGGCAACTGGGCAAGAAGCTTTAGTAACCACCCTAAGGTTCTAAGATCATATTTTTACCGAGGCAACGTCGAGCGGGTCATCGAGGGACTTATGATCTTTTTGAACCAGAGGGTAGCCACTAAAACCTCTCACGTTTCGAGAATTGTGACTATTTATCGAAGGCAACCGAAGTGGGATATCCTAGAGGTGTATATGTGCAATTGATTCAATTCAATTTATTTATCTTTGTTATTAGGTTTTCTAACGTTTTGCTTTTAGTCTTTCTATACAAGCCTAGTTACTAGCAATTAATATTTTGCAGAAATTTAAAGTGCGGGAATCGTAAATCCTACGCTATTACAATGCTTCGGGGAGGGGGTATTTACATGTTCAAATGGGGGGAAATAAAGAAATCGATAAAGTCCTATTTTAATTTATTACATCCCATCAGCAGATACAAAATTATGAAAAAGAAAAATAGAAAGGAAATATTAAACGCGCGCGAATTGGGAAAAATACGTCTAAAACCCTAAAAATTTCTAAGTAAACAAGAAAATCTATTTGGTTGTTTTTGTTTAATTTTGATTAAGAAAAATAAATTTAATTAAGAAAATAAATATTAAATTAAATTAAACCTAATTCTAATATTTTTGTGTTTTTATTAAGAAAATATTTGAATTAAATAAACCTAAGTCTAGTTGATTTTAAATTGATAAAATGAAGTTAAAATAATTAATAAATTAAATTAAATTAACTGAAAAAATCCTAAGTCTATGATTATTATTTTTGATTTTTTTATGATTTGTTAGAAAAAGGATTAAAGTGAAGTAAATAATAAAATAAAAATAAATAAGAAAGCTAATGGGCCTGGAACTGATTAGTAAACAGGGGGGAATGTGTTAAAATTTGCTAAGGCCCAATAAGAGAGGGAGCCCAGTGGCTGCGTATGATTCAATGGTGTTGCTCTTTTGAAGGTCTATCATGAGTGTCTGATTCTGGAACATTGGATTTGATGATGTGACGCTTGGATGATGGTGATTTGAGGACACAGGGTGTACGCGTGGTAACTAGAAGTATGGGATCTGCAAAGTATGTGTTAGAAAAAATAAAATTGCTGGACCTGGGACTCAAACCCAGGCTCTCTCCTATTTCATACGCGCTGCCTTGCCAACTGAGTTGCTGTTTCATTCGTGGATTATAATACAACCATATTATTATATGTGAAAAATGACTCAAAATATATTAAAAAAATAATACGCGCGCGCTGATGGGCCCATTTGCATTTGAATGGGCCAATCAGGACACGCTGCCTTGCCACGTCAGCCCCTGCCTGAGTCAAACGACTGGAGGGACGCCAGAGTCAAACTTCGTTCGTCTTCTCCGGTACATCAAAATATGGATCCTGCAAATTTGTTAGTTTTAAGACTGAACCAAAACCCTATTCCACTTAAAATTCCGCCCTGATCACGAATATGGCCTTAGATTGGCCAGAAAACTCCTACATCTTGAGTTATGAATCAAAAACCCTAACACGGTTTGATCATGGCATTTTATGATCTATACGTCATGCCTTCCATGTAATGCTTTTAACCTGCTCTAAGGATGCCCAGAAACTCATACACACATGTTAAAACATTCAATAATTCATAAAAATAAAGATTTGGAGTTCAGATTATACCAAAATGATGATGACTTGGATCTGATGATCTGGGACGTTTCAAGCTTTGAGAATGGTTGGAACAGGTCCCCGGGAACCTCAGGAGCAACATACGATCGCTAGTTTAAATTGAGAGCACCTGTAAAACGTGTTTCAACTTTTGCAACTTTGGTTGAAATTTTTGAATTTTTTCATGGCTCTCTAGGTAATGTCTCTGCGTGAGTAATGCTTGCACATGGGATGTGTATATATAGGAGAGGGAGGAGACAAGGTAAGAAGGAAAGAAACCATCCCATTAAGCCATGGTTTAAACACCACAGTCAAATTTGAAAAATATTCCAAAAATGGTCATTCTTGCTCTCTTTTTTTGAGGGATGAACCTGGACAGCCTTGCATGAATTTATGGGCCTAAAATCAATCCAAACCAAAAGCCTAAGTGTCATGATCCATCATTCACTAT